TTTTGAGCTACAGAGGTTTTTTGTTTGGCAAAATTTTTGGAAAAATGTGTGCAATAACAATTACGAATTTGTTTTTGAAATTCAACTCCTACACAGCTAATTTCGTTATTATTTTAATAAAAAATGGCACCGTTCATGTAAAATAGCCTTAAAAATATTTCTGAAATAATTGACAATATATTTTTAATATTTAAAGATAATTTTTCTGCCTATTTTAAATTAATTAAATTGAACGTCGTCTCCCCTTAAGGGAAAAAAGTCAGTGGAATTTCAAGTTTCTCGGAAGATTCAAGTAAAATGCCAATTTTTTAGTGGGAAGGAGGAAATTGCGCAATTTATTCTTTACATTTCTTGAAATTCCAGGAGGAATCTGGAATTCAAGGAGAAATTTTTCATAATTTTCCTGATTTTTCATCAACTTTTTCGGAATAATTAAATTGAAATTTACAGTTTCTACGGATTTTTCCATGCAATTATGAATTTTTAATGACAAAATTTCTTGAAATTTTAGTGGAAAATTTAACAGCGGAATTGGGGGAATAAATTTATATGGAATTTCAGGTTTTATTTATGATAAATCGATCAATGTCATAAAAATTTTAATAAAATTTCAATCGAAATTAAAAAATTTTGTTTTTAATAAATTTAGTTCTTCTTAATTTTAGTTTTCTTCAAAATTTTAGTAGATTTTATCCGTGAAAATGTAATAAAAATTCCAATTAGATAAAATAATTACAATTAATTTGCACGGAATTTCGGTTGATTTTATTCATAAAAAATTAGGCAATGCTATAAAAATCGCATGCAATGTCTAATCCATTTCTTTAAATGGTATAATTTTAAAAAATATGAGAAAAAAATCGTTTTTTTTAAGTTTTAAATATTAAAAAATTATAAAAATATGGAACTTCTGAAGTGAAGGAAGGGACGGTTTGAAAAATTCGAAATATATACGAGACATTCATCCTCTCAGATACGCCAGATATTGCCCACCTTGACACTTGCCAACTCCCGCCACTTCCCAACTTCGTAGCTTGCGGTCGCCTCCTCATCCATGCAATATCTATACATTCGCAATGCCATATCCGTAACGCACCATTAATCGGTGCATTGACTAATTGTCGTCTAATGGAACTGATGATCGAGGGTAATAGTGTGCCATCACTCTAGTTGATGGGTTCCTGCAAATATATTCGCCGTATTCTGTCAAATAAAGCATTAAATCTACATTTCCAACGTTTCAATTCCAAATTTTCATTCTCAATGTTCGCCCTAGTTTTTAAAAAAAATTTTGAGATAAAAAAAATTGTAAGGTGATAGGTTTTACATTTCGAATTTTTATTCGACAATAAACATATATTCCTTCTTTAAAAACTATTCTCTAAATTTTTTTTCGTCCTGCAAAATTTTTTAACTCTTCAAAATGAAGAAAAAAACTGTTGCACTGAAATTTTACGGAATTTCATTATGAAAAATTCAAAATTTTGTAGAAAAATTAAGGGAAAGTGTAACTTTGACTTCAATTATTCCCTGAAAAATAATAGAAATGAGGAAAATTCACGTAAATGTATTCTTAAATCTCAATTAATTGAAAATTCCAGTAAATTGTGAAATTAAAAAATTTGGAGATTTATTCATTTATTTATCCCCTCCGCTGTAAATCTCATTCAATCTCTCTCTTCGAAAAAACTAGTCATCCCTAAAAAATCATGGAAATCAGGAAAATTTACGTAAATATATTCTTAAAAACTCAATTAATTGAAAATTCCAGTAAATTGTAAAATTACAAAATTTGGAAATTCATTTACTTATTTATCCTCCCCCCCCTTCCCCCATAAATGGAATTCAATCTTTCCCTTCAAAACAACAAGTCATCCCTGAAAAATAATAGAAATCAGAAAAATTTACATAAACATATTCTTCAAATCTCAATTAATCGAAAATTCCAGTAAATTGTGGAATAAAAAAATTTGGAAATTCATTCATTCATTGATCCCCCTCCCTCCCCCATAAATCGCATTCAATCTCTCCCTTCAAAACAACAAGTCATCCCTGAAAAATAATAGAAATCAGGAAAATTTACATAAACATATTCTTAAAATTTCAATTAATTCAAAATTCCTGTTAATTGTGGAATTAAAAAATTTGGAAATTCATTCATTCATTGATCCCCCTCCCTCCCCCATAAATCGCATTCAATCTCTCCCTTCAAAACAACAAGTCATCCCTGAAAAATAATACAAATCAGAAAAATTTACATAAACATATTCTTCAAATCTCAATTAATCGAAAATTCCAGTAAATTGTGGAATAAAAAAAATTGGAAATTCATTCATTTNGAAAGCAGGAAAATTTACGTAAATATATTCTTAAAATCTTAATTAATTGAAAATTCTAATAAATTGTGGAATTAAAAAATTTGGAAATTCATTCATTCATTGATCCCCCTCCCTCCCCCATAAATCGCATTCAATCTCTCCCAGCAAAACAACTAGTCATCCCTGAAAAATAATAGAAAGCAGGAAAATGTACGTAAATATATTCTTAAAATCTTAATTAATTGAAAATTCTAATAAATTGTGGAATTAAAAAATTTGGAAATTCATTCATTCATTGATCCCCCTCCCGCCCCCATAAATCGCATTCAATCTCTCCCTTCAAAACAACAAGTCTTCCCTGAAAAATAATAGAAATCAGGAAAATTTACATAAACATATTCTTAAAATTTCAATTAATTCAAAATTCCCGTTAATTGTGGAATTAAAAACTTTGTAAATTCGCATTCAAGTCTCTCCCATACAAACAACTAGTCAACACCGAAATGTCCGCGTTTCCCTAACAGTGTGTTCCCCATAAAAATTCAACCCACGAAATAAAAATGTTCAAGTGCAAAATGTTCAAGTGCAGCCAAGCAGAAATTACGTTGCTGTTGAACACGCACCTTATTTTCTAATGTACACATTAATACACCAGAACTGGTAACTCTCAGGTCCTCCGCAGTTGTTTGGCAAGCTTTACCCCCCATTTATGCCAGCGGCATACCTCAGTGCTGCAGGCGACGCGTGCATTCTCATCGGTCGCTGAGATGTGTTGCGATGCAATAACGTATACCTTCATTATGGAGCCACCTGCCGAGATCCCCTTCCCTTGTTTGCCCGTATAATGGAGTTTGTCGTACCAAATAGGTGGCTATGAGGAACAACTCGGGGTGTCTTTGTGTATCCACGCATACCCCGCACCTTTTTACATTCCCTTGTGCACCCACTGGATGCATTCATTCGTGATACCCTTTGTAAGGATCTCTCACTCCACCTTTTGCATGCGTTATCTCGGCAAATAGTACTGGAACGATAATTGCATCGTATAATTAACGCTCCCGGCACGAGTGACTTTTAGATTGGGTTAACCCCATCATTTCGTCAAGCACTCGACACTTTTATTCACAGGGGGAAATGCATCATGCACGTGTTACCGCGGAAATTGTGGCCTGCACACGTTTACCCTGTGCCAGGGGCTAGTAAAACTTTGTAATGCAACGGGAATGATGGATCGCGTTTATGGAGTCCGCTCTTTGACACTGCGGAATTTGTGTATGCTAATATTGCCTCTATTGGCTGCGGGGGGAGCTTTCATAGTTGGGAAAATTGAATTTTTTCAGTGATCGGGGAGTGGAGGGGAACAAGCCGATTTTCCAGCGTTCTTGGGGTAAACGATTCGGTGAATGGTTTTAGGGTAGCATTTTTAAAGGAATTATACCGGTTTTTATTCTCTTTTGGGATGTTTTTGAATGTTTGTTACAGTGTTGGAAATAAATTGAATTTTTTTAATTCGTGGAAAATTCTGGATTTGATTCACATGGATTTTTCTGATTTCTAAGGATTTTTGAAAGAGAAGGAATTATTGAAATTAAGTTTACAGTTTTATTGGGTTTTCTATAACTTGATTCTGTTTTTCGTACTGTTTTAATTCTCTTTTTTCTGGTATTTTTAAATGTTGCTACAGTGTCGGGAATAAATTGAAATTTTAAAATTCGTGGAAAATTCAGGATTTGATTTACATGAATTTCTTTACTTCCAGGAATTTTCGTGGAATAATTGAATTCTAGTTTATGGTTTGCATTGGATTTTCCGTAACTTAATACTGTTTTTAATACTGTTTTCAATTCTTTTTTTGTGGTATTTTTAAACGCCGTTACAATGTTAGGAATATATTGAAATTTCAAATTTCGTTGAAAATTCAGGATTAGATTCACATGAATTTTTATGATTTCTAAGAATTTTCGTGGAATAATTGACCTCAAATTTACAATTTTCATTGATTTTTTCTATAAAATTTAGAATTTTTAATTATGAAATTCTTTGAAACGTCAGTGGAGCCAGAATGAGATAAATAATATAAACGCAATTTTTATTTTATTCTAAATTTCTGTTCTTAGTCTTAACACAATAAAAATTAGAATTCAAATACATTCAGACTTAATTCTCGTGTCTATTCCGCATTTTCTGTATTATTTCAATTTTAGTTACCAATTACTGTTCAATTGTTCAATCACTTAGATAAAAGTTATTTAAAGACCCGAACCTTTAATTTAATCACCACAGAATTTTGTATCAATTTTGAAATTATATTCATCAATTATAATTGCTTAGTTATACGATAAAACCATAAAATTATCCTTTACAATTGAATAATTTGAACTAAAATCTCAAACACTTTTTTAATTCTCCGAAAAACATCTCCTCAGGTTTCCTGCTTGAATTCCTCCTCGGAATAATCCGATACTTATTGAATAAATAAAATATCTTGCTCAGCCTGGACGGACCCAACCATCCCTTCAAGATGACAAAATCCTTACTCTAAAGAATGTATTCTTTGCGTCCCTCGAACCATAACCCAAGCCCTGCATCCTCAAAGTAAAAAACCCCTGAATAAGGGAGGAGAATGGAGGAGTAAAGGGTCAGAGAAAAGTCTGCTCATTAGGTTCCTTTGATTTGTTGCAGGCCATCATGAAAGGGAATTCTTCAAAAACGTACGATACGTACCCCAAGCGGACACAGGATAAGGCATTTGTGGTGAACATCTAGTCATACTCCTTTTGTGGAGATAATTCTTGGAGAAAACCGAGTGGCTTCTCATTCGCGATAGTGGGATCCGGTGGAGTGGAGAAGCTTTCTGGGGACTGGAGGGAACCAATGACGTTGAGGGAGACTGTTTGGAGTCGGGAAGTGTTTGGAGTTAATGGGGAATCGTGGATATTCCTGGCGTCATCGTGATTGTTGACATCTTGTGTTGAATATTGAAGGGCGGTGGTGATAAATCGAGGAGTCGGGGGATTGTGTGCGCTGTGAAAATGATATTGAGGCACTCGACCGACTGAAGAGAACTCGATTATTGAAGGAAATAGTGACAATGGCGACTCGAGTAGCCAGAAAGATGATGGTCTGGTCGGTGTGGCTGGGATTCTTCATCGTCTCTCTGCCACGCGTCTATCCGCAGATGCCGTGGACGCCGATATTTGTTGGTGAAGACAGTGAGTACAATTCATTCGTATCCAGAGTAAAATCTCCTTTTACGTGCCTCAGGCGTAGAAACAGGCACTAGGAATTAGACAATACACGGAGAGAAATATTCAGGAAAAATTACGGAACAATTCACGTAATCCGCAATGGGGAATCGTTTTCCGGAAATTTTTATAGGAATGGAAGAGAGGAAATCTTTTTTTTTTATGCTTATTTTATATCGCTTCGAGTCTGATGGGACTATATGGCGATTGATCAAGACTTAAAAAATGGTTAGATCTCACCATTCTACCCGGCCAGGAATCGAACCTGGAACCTATCCGTTGTGAGGCAACGGCCTTAACCACTACGCCAGGCCACCGGGCTGTGAGAGGAAATCTGAACCATTCAGTGAATTTTCAGATTCATCACCGAACAAAGTACGAAATTGTCACGTAATTTTTCCCGAAAAAAGTAAAATCTTACAGAAACTTGCCGAATTGTTAGGCCTTCAAAATCAAAAATTCTTGAACGTTCAACAATTTTTATCAAGCTGGTGAGTTATTTCTACGTTCCGTTTCGTAAAATGTCTCAATCGTTGGAGAAAAATTACGGAACGACTTGTTGTCATCATTGCGGTGAGTCATCAGACGAGTGGTTAATTTTTACGGAACAAATCGTAGAATTTACGTGGCGATTCGTACAATTTCACTTCCGACTCACACTTTTTATTGAAATTTTACTTCGCTCACGGATTACGTTTCGAAACGTAATTTTTACGTTTTTTTTCTGGTAATTTTTTTTATTTTTTTATTGAATTTTGCTAGCTGTGTAGAAAAAATTGCGTGAAATTCAAGTCGATTTTGAATATTGCTCATTTTTCATGAATATCTCGGAATCTAAGGGAGATAGCAAATTTTTTGATAATACCTTTTTTACGGCTCTCACTTCGCTCTCAAAAAAAGGTTATTACAAAAATTTCAATATCTTGTTTAGATTCGGAGATATTCATCGAAAATAGCTGAGGGGTTAGCTGGCTTGAAGCGTTTTACCGCTTTGATTCTGAATTCTCTGGAATTTTTCAATAGATTGTAGTTTCACTGAAATTTCAGGGAATTTTATAGTTGAAAATGGAAAATTTTATGGAGGAATCAATGGAAACTTTTAATTTCAAGTCAATCATTTCATGAAAATTCAGGTGAATATATTCTGTATTTTTTCATTAATTTAAAAATTTGCTTAATTTGGTTCAGAATATTCATGTTTTCATTAATAATTGAAATCAGTTGAGGAATTAGAGTTTTCCTGCTGTTCAAAAATTCAGGATTCCAATAAATTTTTAGCAAAATCTGAAACTTTATGATTTTTTTTTCGAGTTCAATTTTTTTTTCAAAATCATTTAATGCAAAAATAACGTAAAAATCGATTAATTTTGGCGACTCCAAATTTGTTCCTTCCCCATATGATAACAATAGATTAATTGAATAAACTGTTCATAATCCTGAATTGCCCTATAAAATCACAAGCCCCAACCGCTTAATACCTCCCCCTCAGTTCAATAACTGATGAACTCGACGATAAATTCAGTAGATAACCCCGATTTATCAATTTCCACTCCTTCCGAGTGGAACAGCACTGACATCCAACAAATTGCGAATAACAGAGTTCAATAATCCAACGATGAAATACATATTTTCAGAAGATAGAGCTACCGGCAGGCAATATCAATTCAGAACGTGCTCGTGCATTTCGTTGATAACTCATTTCGTTCTTGGACAGTGAAACATTAACACACTTTCGTGTCATTTCTCCGTGGATTTTTTTTTTTGAAAATGAAATTCCTCGCGAGAATTAAATTCCAGACACTGATTCCTGTTGAGACGTTACTCACATATTTAATTCGCGATTATAATTCCCAAAAATTTTAAATATTAGAAAATGACAAACGTGGAACTTTTTTGATAAACTGATCGGCAATTAATTCTCAAGAAATTTCGTCTTGAAATTTCATTTTCTTTCCAACTGCGTACCCTAACGAGTTATTCACCAAAATCAATTTTTCAAACAAAGAAATTACCGAAACACATTCTTAAAAAACGAGCATTCAAAGGCGAATATCTGCACATACTCACCCCACGGGGCTTTGAAATACCCGAAACAAGGTGGCAAATACGAAATATCACCTCATGTCCCACCCGTTTTAAAATTCAGTTCACGCCGTGTCGACACTTTCGTGGCCGTCCCAACTGGATCCGACCGCACCGCCTCCAGTGCATTCCCCCGTCCGCAAAAAAATACCCCACTATGAAAATTGAAAATAATTTCATTACCAATTCCCCCTAATTCCGTGCCCCACCACCTCATGAGGATGCATATCGTGTTTCTATTTTTATTTATCTCCCCCGAGATGAACGTAACTAGAACGCCACTTCCTAGGGGCCGCGGCAGTGAATAAAATTCGATCCACGTAGCACGCGGATCGAAAAGTAATCACGCTGCCCATGCCAGCCACCTCCACTATCCTACTGTCTATGGATACCTCTGTCTCGTTTCATTGATAAACGCACCCACCTTTTGTACCAGTGCCTTGAGGGGCCGGGGGCGGGGGCGGGGGCGGTGACTCTCCGACGAGCGGAATCAATCTCAAACGTGTGCCAAGTAACTCAATTTCCGGTTGAGCATATCCCCAATCCACACGACGTCAGTATTAGGGTCTTCTTCGTTGGATAAGATGAAGCTAGTCCCTTCGAAGTTTGGGGGATGTGTATGTACGGTACACTTGTTTGGGAGGATACGAGAGTCGACCAAAGATTGACCCGGCAAACCTGCCAAGTGAGATCCCGAGAAATTGCATTTCCCGGAGCTTTTCTTGCTACTTCCATTTCCGATATAATATCGTTCATGAAGTCTGTTTATCTGGTGAAAAAAAAATGAGGGAGGAATTGGGGGTTGGGGGGATTATTGGGTTTTCCATGTTTTTGTGTCAATAGTTTGTTTAGTGATAATGTTATTAAACTGTTGAAATTTTTTATCAGAGAATTTGAACTTTTAATAGTGTTTCGAACAGGCGATACTCGCGAGCTAGCAATTAAGCTCACTCAGGGAAATTTACGGCTCATATGAGATGTTTGTTTATTTATTAGTTATTTGGAAGGAGTTGAAGGAGATTCATTCTTGGTTTTGTGAATAATAGGTCGATTTAATCCAAGATTTATATCATTTTCAATTGGATTTATTATTTGAAGGTGGTTGGATTTTGTTATTAGTCTGGAGTTGTTTTAAATATAATTTGAGGCATTATTTGATGAAAAGAGAGAGGGTACTTGTCATTTTAAGTTTGGATTTCATGTGAAAACTAGCACGATAAATTAATTTGGTAACAACAATTAAGCTCACTCAGGGAAATTTACGGCTCATATGAGATGTTTGTTTATTTATTAGTTATTTGGAAGGAGTTGAAGGAGATTCATTCTTAGTTTTGCGAATAATAGGTCGGTTTAATCCAAGATTTATATCATTTTCAAATGGATTTATTATTTGAAGGTGGTTTGATTTTGTTATTATTCTTTAGTTGTTTTAAATATAATTTGAGGCATTATTAGATGAAAAGAACGAGGGTACTTGTCAGTTTAAGTTTGGATTTCATGTGAAAACTAGCACGATAAATTGATTTAGTAACAATAATAGTTTGGAATACAATGACGTGGAATAAATGTTTGATATAAATTTGAGTTGAATTGAGGTTGATTCACTTGAGTATTTACCGAGACCGAGCAATTGATTTAAATTTTGGATAGATTAAGTGTGTTGATGTGTCCACACTGATGGATCAACGCGAATTGTCTTCCCTTTGCGTATGGCTACGACAGCCTTCAGGTAGTAGGACCCGGGTATAAGGCTCTCATTGCAAAAGCATTTTCAAGTTTTCGGTTTTTAGCTGTAGTTTTCATGAACAGAAAGATACACTACAGTTTTTCTCTTGCGCTGGAGGCGGTAAATACACTGTTAGAAATTTTTTGAAGTTTAAGTAACAGATGCATTTGAATTTTCAATATTCGGAACTTGAATTCAATTTCAGACTAAATTGCTCATGGAATTCCTGATTCATCTTAGAAATTCAATAAAATTAAGTTTTTCATGATGAATGATCACTGAAGTTTCAATGGCAATTTGGATTTTCACACCTATCGCAAAAATTAAGCATTACATTCTATTGAATTTTCAAGAGATTAAAAATTCAGAAGAAAGGTTGCCTGAATTTTCACGATTTTCAGTCATTTTCATTGTCGTATGAACCTGAGAAATCAAATTTCATTGATTATTCAAGAAAATTGACTGATTTATCAATAACAAGATCAATGGAAATTTCCTGTAAATTATTCGTTGTTAAAAATTTCAAGATTTTCTACTTGAAATTTCACGAGTAATTTTCTAACCGTCTACTCAAATGTAACATTTTGTGTTGATATTTGGTAGCTTTAGAACGACCATGATATTTGTTGGAAATGAAAAATTTGGAACATTTCGCCAATACTTTCAAGATAATTAAATTAATTCAATATTCTGTTCTTAATTCAATATTCTGTTCTACAATGAAACAAGTAGTCTTCATGAAGAAATTGAACTTTAATTCACTATTATCATCGATTTTTACATCAAATTGTAAATTTTCAATGAACCATTTCCAATTCGAAATTTCGAAAATTCCAGTTAAAAAATTTCAACAGTAGCGTCATTATTATTCATCTCATGATATTACGAATTCATTCATTTCTTCGCGAATTCATTAATTCGTAATGCACGAAGAATACTTGAATGTACACGAATAATCATCGCGAGTTAGATGCAAAGCGTTGGAATTACAACAGTACACAGATAGTTAACTCTGTCTCACACACGATGCACTGATTTCCGGATTCCCGTCCCAAGGACAGTTGAAGCCGCAACCTCGCTATTTGCTGGAACTATACTTAGTGTTTAAGGTGGCTCCGGGACTGGGGTTTACTGTCATCAGAGGTAGACGGGATCTCAA